TCATTAACAAGAAAATATTAGAAGATGATTTTCTAATGGCAGGGCAGCCTCTGCAACATGTCTTCCATTACAAACAGTGATTATTAGTAGGGGAAAGAAACAAACAGTTCTCATTAGTATTTGTATTAGTGCTTATTCATTAGCTCTTCCTTAAAATATCTAGAAGTAAAAACCACTAAATTGCTCAGATCCCCTTCATGTCTAAATTGCCCCGTAGAAAACAGCCCTTCCCAGTCTCTTGCTAGCATTGCCAAGGAAATAAAGTACAAACCACCAATTACAAAGGCTTAATACTGGGAACACAGATCTATAATCTCTTTACCTTAGAAAGCAAACAAAACCAAGACAAATTGAAATGCTACAATTCAGGCAAAACCCAGCCTTATAAACTTTTCCATGAGGAAGAACATAATTGGTGAAGGGGAGGAAGATTAAACTATTTTCCAAAGGTTTTAGTGTCAGTACAAAATTCAGCACTTGAAACACTTTCCTTACAATTTTCTGGTATCACTGCACTGTGCAGCAGGAGCAGTGTCTCAGTGGTTTAGCTGGTAACTTTCAAACACCTTTTATTTAGACTTTAACCTTAATACTGAATGTCTGCAATTTGATCCTCACTTTAGTGTCCTGATCCATCAGGACACTAAAAATTGTACAGGCTACCAGCACTAGATCTACAGGAAGAGGAAGGTCTGTCCATGTGTGATTTGATATTTCTATCACTCTGAAGAGATGGAAGTCCTCTGGAGGGGGGACAGAGAGATGGAGAGGATTACTGTTTGGTTTTAAAAGCGGACTCACCAGTGCAACACTGAGGCCTGCCTGCACTGCTGAATTTGAATCAATGGCATCTCAATAGCAATATTTCCATTCTTCAGAAAATATGGGGTAGAAAGAGAGAATTGGCAGAGTCATCTCAGCAGCTGATCCATTCTCCCATCTCCAAGTCTGTCATGGTAGGGGTTCAACAGGAGCAGGGCTAAAGCAGCTGTGCCCCAGGGAGCCTTCTGACAGCCAGCACTACGGAGGACATGGTACCCGTAAAGACCAATGACCTTGGGACAGTTAAGTCTCTCAGGGAAAATTCTTGATGTTCATTCCACACTCGCCCCATGCTGGCCATTCCAGCTGCTGGAACAGTTGTGTGGAACTAGCTGCATCAACAATTGGGTAAAATATCTGCTGTCAGTGGCCCAAATCATGTTACCTGTGCTTCTCTGTAACCCAACAATTAGATCCATCAGTAGCAGCTTGGCTTAATTATAACTTAGAACTTCTCCAAGCATAGACTCTGCTCAAGATTTCATATTATTGTAATTAATTATGCAGAAAGCCTGAAGTGTCTTATCATATTTTTTCCTCTCTCTGCATTGACACAAGAAAGTAGTTTCATAAAGGAGCTGGGCTGTCAACTGAAAAATTAAAAAACCGACATCTCTTGTAGAAAAACACACAGGGAAACACTTTATATATCCTATATAAAGAGGAAGAAGGCTTCAGAATTTTTTAATTCTGACTAAGAGATGCAAAAGGAGTATCATTCTACGCTGCACATGTTTAGCCCAGTCCTTATAAGAACAATTTATTTCTTGCCTCCCATTTAAAAAGCTTTTTGTATTCTCCCCAAATTATTGCTGTTATCAGAGATCTAGAATTGGGCAGCTGGCCCCAGCCTGAACCAACTGGTTGAATCTCAACCAGTAAAAAGCAAACCCTACAATTAATGCCAGAAAAAACAGCAACTTCTTAAGACACAGGGGAGGGAGGAAAGTGTTATCATGCAAAGAAACGTTTCCCACTCGGCTTTCCAGTGCCCACCCGCAAGATGAAAACATTAATGGAAGGACACCACGGGGCTCTTTAGTGCAGGTTGTGGCCACTGCCCAATTCCCGCACACTCTCCCAGGCCCTCTGGCTCGCTCCGGCTGAAGGAAGGCGGGAGCCCTCTAGGGGTGGCACACAGAGCCCCGAAGGGACACGGGGCACCTGCTGAGCCATTTGCCTCTTCCACGCCGAGCCCCTCCTGCCTGTCCTTGGCACAGGAGCGCTGTCCTGGCACGTGCAAGGGCTCAGCAGCTGAAGGCCTACACAGAAAATCAGGCTGGCTACAAGGAAGTCCCAGACTTTTTCCTGGAAGCGCTTACTCTACAGCCCAAAACATGATGTGGGACATCTGTTTTATGTGGTTGGTTCAAGCCTTTCAAGGAAAACAGAACATCACCAAAGTGCAGACTGCAGTTCTGGAGCTAGCCTGGCTCATCACAGTATAGCTGGAATTTTCTTCTTCTAGGCTATGTAAAAAGGTCTTGGTTTTGTCTTACTATGTGCCTCAAGCATACTGTGAACTCTTGAATAAAATGAGCAGGTTTATCTTTGTCAAGGCTTGTTCAAAATAGTCCTTTCCAAGAGCTACTTCTATTTGAAGGCTAGGTAACAGCTGCAGCATTTAAACATTTAAATATTTTCTCATTCTAATGAGAACTTAAGATCCTTTCCAAACAGCTCAACATAACAACATGAGAATGTGGCAAACCCAAACTTCAAAACATTTTGACTCCAGTAAAAAAAACAAAACAAACCAAACAACACCCAAAACAAAAGCATCAAAAAGCATCTAAGAAGATATTAAGAATTTGCTGTAGTGCAACCAATAACAGATTTTGTTAGAGATCCAAACCAGAAGCATGCAAGAACAGCTTAACACTTTGAAAAAACCCACCAAGGTTATTTGTTTTGTTCGGGGTTTTTTTTTACTGTAAGAGATATTGACCATAAAAGACCTGCACAGTTACATGACGAAAACTGCAGCATCGGTTTGGTGAAACAGGTAAATACCCATTACAGTCTCTACATGTAATTTACAAACAGCTTTCTGAATGGCATATTCAAGGTTATTATCGATTTTTAAAAAAAAAAATATTAGCGACAGTAAGAGGAAAACCTGTAATCTACATTAGTGCTACTTTAATAGCAAACATTATCTAGATGAAGAAAATGTTTTATCTATCCCTCACCAAATGGCAGAGATGTGAAGTCTGCATTACTAGGAGAACCCCTATTTCTTAAAGTCCTCCCAGCTCTGAAGAAGCACTTCTGCTTACTCCGTTTCCCAGGTGGAAAGGACAGGCATTTCCAGGCTGTTGGCAGAGCCTTGGTTTTGGCTGGGATAGAGTTAATTTTTTTTTTTCCTAGTAGCTGGGACAGTGCTGTAGTTTAGATTCAGTGTGAGAGTAATGTTGATAACACACTGATGCTGTAGTTGTTGCTAAGCAGTGCTTACTCTAAATCAAGGACATCTGAGTCTCCTGGGCTCTGCCAGTGAGGAGGTGCACAAGAAGCTGGGAGGGAGCATGGCCAGAACAGCTGACCAAACTGGCCAAAGGGCTATTCCTTTACATTCACTTCCATAGGCTTATTGTTTCTTATTCAAACCTTCAACAACATTGCAACAGAGCCTGCAATGACTGGAATTCTGGAGCAGAAGGTTGGCTCTGAGCCCCATGTTGAACACATGGGAGGTGGGGATCTGTTGGATGAGAAGGAAAACAGTCACGAGTATGACAGCACAGCCAAGAATCAGCAATAGCTGCATTTCATCTCCTATTATTCAAAAGGAGACAGCAAAGCCAATACTGAGCAGCAGCAAGAAGAAACAACAGTGGTGTCCAGTCCTGTTCTCAACTGCAGCTGGAATGGGCTCAGACCTAGAGGAATGCAGCGCCCTCTGTTGGGAAGCACCAGGGATTCCCATGAGACACTGGAGTGACTTTGTTCGGCTCTGTGTTATCGGCAAAGATCAGCTGTAGTTGCCTTTGGACTGTGGAGTTACCTGGCTGATGGATTCCCACAGCTGCTTTACAAAACCAGAGAAGAACAGTGGTAGTCAGCTGCTGCTTGTGCTCCCTGGTGAGCCCAGTGAATCACAGGCTGGAAAACTGTTGCTAAAACTAGTCAAGCAAATCCCCAGCCTACACTCTTCTGGGAATTTGCTGCTTTTTTAGAGATTATTAAAAGTGAAGTTTCACCCCTGCAATTCTTACTGTTAAAAAAATAAAATAAAAAAAAACAAAAAAAGACATTTAGAACCATGAAATGGATGATATTTTTAAGAGACTTGAGGCTTGATCTGAAGTAGGTTCAAACATGCCCACAACATCTTGACCAAAATACACCTGATGACTCATTATGGTTATACTTATTTTTGTATTTCAAGAAATCCTTTATCTGTTTCTCTGTGATGCAGCATTCTGGGCTCCTGTAGACTTTTATTCTCTTCTCTAGGATAAATACAAAAGCATTTAGACAAACTTCCTGAAAGATTGCATCTCTCAGATCCCCTTGTTAAACCTTGCCTTTTGTCAAGTGTCCCATCTCTGTCTTGCAGTCCTTATGTCTTCCTCTTCTGAGGATATGAACACCTGCACTTCAGAAACAATCACAGGTTAGCTTAGCTTCCAAGCCTTACTTGTATTTCAGGTTACTATCCCTCTTAGAATTTTCTGTGTTTTGTAATATATTAGCCCTAACATACTCCAAGAATTCATGCCCCAGCCTTCCACTTCAATGGTCAAAGACCACTTCTTTAACAAGTATGCAAGTAAATAAATTGTCACCATCTCTGGCTGCAACAGGGTCTTTCAGATCATTATCCTGTTGCTGCAAGACACAGGCAGTACACCCCACTTAACCTGCATTGTCACTGTGGTCAGCTGGGAAAAAGAAGGAACAGATCAAATCAATGAATTAGAAGTACACAGTCCTGAAATGGATTCAGTAACGTTCATCTTTTCAATTAATCACACTGTGTAATCCCAAGGATTACTTCCTTCTAGTGCTTCCACTGATCTCTTTTCCCAGAAAAGCCCTATGGAAGAAGGTAAGGTGGTGAGACAGGGCAACCACTCAAAGATGTGCAACAGGACCTATATGAAAAAAGTTGCAACATGAGGTATTTGAAATATTAGAATGAAATAGATCTTTAAGAAAATAAACAAACAGTGTTTCAAATCACTATACTTTATTAATACTTCAGAACCATTGGATCCTACAGTGGCAAGTTCTTATCCCCACCTGTTTCCAATCACTGTTTTGAAACATCTTCTTGCAATATGCAAATAGATACATGAGGCATTGTGTGAATACAAAAGTGACAGTACAAAAAATTCCCAGCAATTAAACCTCATGCAATACATACATATAGAAAAAATATGGTAACGTAGCATAATACACACAAGCACTATTAGAACAATCCATGTAAATGAATGTACAATATGCATAGCATTTAATGATCAATGACAACAGGTTTTTGACTTGTGCATAAAACCAGTCAGCTTAAATAAGAGTTTTAAGAGACTAGATAACTGGTTAAGCCACAGCTTATAAAACCTGCTGTACTGCAGCTTTTCTGCTCAGGGTCACAAGTGCAGACAGCATACAAAATAAATAAGGACTATGATTCTACAAAACTTGGCTAAGAGCTCCTATTTCAAAGTCACTGGCCCTCTTACTTTCATTCAAGGTTCATCAGCCAACACAGTGGCAAGAAATGTGCCTAAAGAAACAGCTCTGCTCTTGTACTATTTTAATACTGATAAGAAGATATATTTTTAAGTCAGCAGGAGTAGTTACAGAGGTCTCACCACTCCTCAAGCACAGGCTGGCATTACAGTACAGGGCAGACCCTGAAGAATGGCACTGACTGAGAGGTTGCTGAGTCTCAGGCTCGTGCTGCTGCTCCTATCCTGACTGCTCAGCCAACTGGGGCAGGAGAGAGAGCTGGGGAGGGGAAGGAAGGCAGAAAGTTTTCCCCCCACTCTCAACAGTGCAAATGTTTGAAAACACAAACAATCTGCAGAAATAAGGAAGGACAGAGACAAGAACGTTTCTGAAGTCCGGTAATCAGGGTGAGAGCTATTGTTACCTGAAATAAGCTTAAGTGTTCCTATGGAGTACAATACAAATAACAGGATTTTCTTCTTACATATCCAGTACTGGTCCATGCCAAAGCAATAGTTATTGTAGTCTCTTATCTTCCTAGCTGACATGGTTCTTTTCACACTCTTGGTGTTGCAGGCCTCCAAAGATCAGACCAAATTCACTATGGACACAGATGAAGTGAAAATTACAAAGTGGTAACTAAACTAACTTAACAGCCAACAGATTTTATAGCATAAAAAGCAGCATTTTAGGGAGGGAGAGGGCGACAATGTAAAAGGACATAAGATAAAGAAAATTGGGAAGAAAACAGAGAGGACACAGAGCAAAACTGACTTTCAGAAGAAGTTAAAAGTAAAGTCATTAAGTTAAAGGAACTTAGAGTTAAAAACTTTATACTGGCCTTTTTTATTGTCAGTATAAAGCTTTGATCCCAAATAAAACAAATATCTTGCTATTATTAAATACACCGAAGGAAAAAAAAGTGCAAAAAACAGACAAAGAAAGCAGCATTAATCATGCAATATTCAGCTGAATGCCTTTTCACAGAGTTATAAAGGGCACCACAAAAAAAAGAAGTATTTTTATTGCCCTGAGAAGGTCCCCATAGGATCACCCTGGTTTCCTACCTATTATATCTTTAGCCTTGGACACCCAGAAAGAACCATCATTGCTTAAGTAAAAGGATAAATAGTTCCTGGCAGGAATGATGGTCACACATTTCAGCTCTATTTGCCAAAGCAACAAACCTTTTACCTGCCTAATGTATGGCCTCAAAAAGGATAAATAACTTCAAGGAGTGATCCACTGGATCAGGAAGGACCAATGACATTCCTGTGCATGGAAATCCAGAACCATTTAATCAGTAATAGCTTCAGTATTTGATACATTAATATCTCCTGGAAATTAGTAATCAGGTTTAATAGTTGAAAGAAAATTCCATAATCAGAATCTAGCTAGTCACAAAGCCCAGATATATTTAACTTTCTAAGGAGCTGAACGTATCTTGTCTCTTCCACTAAAGAGCACATAATAAGACATAAAACTAACTGAGAGGAGTTTGTTATCAAAATAAAACAGACATTACAAAACAGCCAAATTAATTTGCTTGAAACAGTGGTTTTCAGCCGACAGCGCACTGCCAACTCTTCTAGGCTGCTTTTTTTTTATTCCATTGTTTGCATTCCAAGAAGCTTGAAAACATTTCTTTTCCTATTGATTTTATCCTCCTCTGCTTAACAAAAGCTGCATCTTGCTAAATTTTCGATGTGGCCAGCACAGCTGTCCCTTGTTTATTTTTGTGGGCACCAGCAGCAGCATGCACAGCTTGGAACACACATTAAACCAGGGACACTGATACGCTTGTGAGTGTTCAGGTCTGATGGGTCACACCAAAACAAGGGTTTAAGTGATTCTCTGGAAGATTTTGGTTTCTGTTCCATGCAAAGATAAGGTTATCTGTCACAAAAACCTACCAGCTCATTTTAAGGCATTATTTTAACAAGTGTCTATGACACATGTTCAGAGGAACAGTCTCTCCTTCAATTCTCCATTTGTTTACTTCTCAGCTGACATGACTTACGTAAGTAAAAATAGCTTTAAATTAAATAAAATCCAAGAAATATATTAAGCCCAACCAAAATACATACAGAAAGCACGTCTGGCTTAGCTCTTAAGGGCTGTCAATGCTGCAAAACAAATATTCCATAGGGCTGGCTGGTTGTTTGGCTACATTTAGTAACGAAGAGAGGACCAGCCTCTCGGTTTTGGTGCTGTTTGAAAGGTTATGATGAGCTTGGCAGAAATCTCCCTGGTCTCCAGCACTACTTAAATGCAACCAGACCTGCTATAAATTTGTGTTTAGGGAGAGTACATAACTTCATGCAGATTGGGAAGTTCTGCATTCATTTGAAATTTCATTTTTCTCCTTCTTCAATCCTTCCTGGGTAGAGTTTTGTTCATCAGAAGGGTTTGCTCCTCAAAAAGGGGGAATGGACTTTTTTACTAGTAGGAAATGGAAATTTTTTCCTAGTAGGAATCTGTCTGAAGGCACAGACCCAATTGCAAAAGGGACAGTAATAGAACTAAGCAGGAAAATTTAATTCAGGCTTAACCAGAGTTAAATTATACATGAATCATCTGCAATCTGCTCTGTTGTGGCTAACATCCCCCCACCTTCTCCCTAAAGCATTTCCTTGATACTTCAACACTATAAGAGTAAAAAGAGACAATGACTGGTGCTGCACATTCAGTACCTGCATCCACAGGAATACAAATAATTTAACCAACAGAGGCAAACTTGCACTAAGAATAGAGCTGGAATATTAACTTTGACTTTTTTGTCTATGCCCTTTATAGATTAAGGGTATTTGCTGCTCATCTTTTCTGCAATGCCATTCACAAATAACATTTACAAAAGTTCTTAGCCACTTGTTTTAGAAATATCTTTTTTAGGTTAGTTTTTCAAGTATTTAGGTTAATTTTACGTGGGGGTTTTTTGTTGGTTGTTTTTTTTTTTTTGTCTGGGAGGGGAAGCTTCAACCCCAAAGAAGTGATCTAAGCTATCAACTGAACATAGGTTTTTCAGTGCAATCAGCCAAATTATCTCCAGGATGCAGAAAGCAAGAGAAGCACTTTTCCCAACATGTAACAAAAAAGTGGAAATTTTAGTGGCTCCTCATGACAGAAGGTTAATGACACTGGAAATGCTTTGTAAAAGAGCAGTATTGCATCTGACTTTGAATTAAGTGTCTATTGAATGCTATTAAAGTCATCACTGTGATTAACACTACTCTGCTGCCAGCACTGTTGTAACCACTTGGTGCCCAATTACTCATCCTGCAGGGCTCAACCATCCCCTCCACTCATTAACACACTCCACAGTTACTCACAGCAGCACTTGCACAGTGACCAGGAACTGCAGAGGCTGGGTGCTCCCTCTTAGCACCACTTTACATGGGAGGATGTTTGGAAAAACCCATTTAGGAGCATTAGCTACCAAGATAGCATTGAGGGGTCACAGTAAATCACCTTGGACACTTTCAGGGCTATTTCTTCTTTGGCTCTTTGAAGACAGAGTTACCACAGCTGAGCTCTGCCTTTTTAATGGGTGTGTTTCTAACTCTTTCAAGCACTGGTATTTCACTCTAAAGAACTGACATTTGTAGCTCTATTTTCCAGCCCACTTCCTTTTTAAAATAGGCATTAATAATACTTAAATGCATTCCTGTCTCTCTCTTTCACTCCTCCATCACTCAGAGGGTGGATTTTACTTAATCTCCCTCTGTTCTAAATTTTTTTTCCATGTTTCTATCATCTGTATTCTTAGGAAAAAAAAGCCAAAATGAACCCCCCCAACAAATGTTATTTGTAAAATTTTAATCTTGTCTCTGTCATACCCAGAATATTCACTGTCATAGGTGTGTGGCTTGGAAGGAGAAGATGGGGAAAGGAAGGGAAGGTAGAAGCATGAATAAGCAAAAAAGGTGTTGGATACCCACTAAGCAGAACAACTGAAGCTAGTTTCCAGTCAAAGAACAAAAGAATTTAAGTGTGCTCTATTTTAAAAATTCAGGCTCCTTTAAAAAACGATTTTTCTTCTGCTGAGTGCTAAAATGCAGCAGCAGACATTCATTTGGAGTCTAGTAAGGCACGAAAATTATTCAACATTTGTCTTGAATACTTCAGTTAATTTCTACAGCTTCCCCCCAAACCGTATTTGGGATTTTCCTGCAAATGACACATTAGGAATTACTTATTCTAGCAATGGGATACAAACTGCCTTTTCTGACCCATTACAATTTCTGTTGACCTGACCAGACTTTTCAAAGGTAGTAAGAAGTCTGAAATTGAGAGAAATACTTTTAATCCACATTGTAATCTGAGTTCTCAAAGACTGTTCCTATCCATTTACATCTCAAAGAAATGAAGCACTATGTCAGTCAGAATGAATGCAAATGTAAAGGAACTGCTTTTAAGAATGCAGAATTTCTTCCCTAGAGCATTGCTTGAGAATTAGATTTTATGATTGCCACAGACAGCTTTCTAAAGGCCCATTCCACTTAGCTCTCATAAAACAGAAATTATCAAATCTGAAACAAAAAAGGATATTCTCACATAGATTCAAGCAACCATCAAAAGAATTAAGACTTTCTTTCCTCTGTAATGCAAATCTGCCCAGAAAGGGTTGAAAAAAAAAAACAAAACATTACAAAGAGTTTGGCTTGTTCAGTCCCCTTCACCTTTAAGGAAATTTGACAAATTTCAGAAACTAAACCATATCATGAATTTACCAACATTTCATATCTTCCTTCATAAATACAATAATTTTTCCTTCTCCTGATAACCCTCAGATAACAATGAAATCAAACAATTCTGCATGATTCTTACTATATTAATAATAGAACTATTTCCAAGACACCAAGAGACACTAGTGGTCATCAGGATTTAGCATACAATTGAGTATCTGGCTAGAAGTCAAAGAGAGAGGAGTTGATAAATCCAAGGGGATTACTGAACAAGTCTAAGGGCTTCCTTAACTGAAGAAGGTTCACTACAAACACTGATGCCCACCCCACCAGGCTGCCATAAGGGAAATCCTTCCCCATATATTTTAAGACAGAAAAGCTGCTGTGGCAAAACAAGGCAGTCACTGTCTGAGCTGCTGTGAGAGAGGTCACTGAGGAGTTCCTACGTTAAAAACTGTAGGATCATTCACAGGAATTCCAGCAAAAGCCTTGGGTCACTGCATCATCCCACAAAGGATCCAGAGACTATGGACATAGTGCTGCTCTGTTCTTCCTCTGAGCCATTCCAGCTCTTCTACCTAAACTTCCTTCCCAAGCAACATTAATGCTCACCATATTTTAATCAACAGGACTGACATATTGCAATGACATGTGCTTCTAAATGTGGCATACAATCTTGCTGCCAGATGCAAAGCACTTTTGTTTAGACACTGAAATTAATAACAAATTTACCATTGAGCCTTCAGATCTTGTTGATTCCTGCTAGCCAGGCAAGACAAAACACAACCACAGGCTCTAGCACATCATGAATAGAGCTGTTGTGTAACACCCTTACATATTCATTACAATTCTTTCATCCTCTGAGCTTCGCAGTTCCTTAGAAAGTTATTCAGACCCAAGAGGTTCATGAAGTGTGCCAAATTAACCTTCAATTAATAAAGAATTGTGACTAAACTGTTTCTAGTTTGTGTTACTAAATTTTCTTGTGAAGGCCAAAAGTTACTTTTTAAATGAAATAATTACTCAGATTGTTATTATATGATTAAATCTCTAGAGCTTTCTGCACAGGGCAGGGAGAAAGTCAAGCGAAGCTTTTACTATAAACCACAAGATTTGGCAACAATGAAAGATGTTTTCTTGAAACCTAGTTACCACTAAAATAATTCACAAACTGAAACATTTAAGTACATCAATGAAAACAAAAAGTCACATTTTAAAAATTAGGAACTGGCTCACCAGATTATGATAAGCAGCCAGCAATCCTTGGGTGAAATATTTAAGGCACTTGAGGGTAGTCAGTTTTTGTACACCAGATAATAAAGACAGAGCCACTTGAAAATTCCAGTTTAAATAAAAACCACAACAAAATAAAGTAACACTGCAAAACATTCCTCCAAATGTGAAGTTCAGAAAATTAACAAATAAACACGATAAAAATAAATTTCTCATCTGCTGTAGTACACAAAATAGTGGCAGGAAGAGCACATTTACCTGCTTGAGCACACAAACTGTAAACATCTCTCTCAAATACCACAAGAGGGGGTCTTTTCAGGTTGCCAAATAGCCAATGAGCATGTTTGTTAGGGAGACATAATCCAGTGCAGTTAAATATCAGATTCCAGTTTATAAACCAGAGCATCCCAGAAAGCAGCTGATTTCTATCATTTTCCCTGGGATATTTCTAGCTAGTTTTTCTGCTTTTCTGGAGATCCAGTTTTATTTTCTCCTCTCCATATACACAAATGTTAACTGTTTCTATTTGAATAAAGAGGCCACATCATTCTTGTAGTATCTTTGGTACAAACCAAAAGCACCTTACACAGCACACTGGTGTCACCCAGTCCCTGCACCCCAAGCCTGTTCCTACAGAACACACACAGGAAGAAGCTTTTCTTGGTGGGGACAGCTTCTCCCCTCCACCTTCCAAAGTAACATCACAGTTAAGTACAACATACAGTGCTCTTTCTAAGCACTAATTCAAATTTTCACTCAGAATTCATGAAATGCGTATTTTCATCCATTAGCTTATACCTATATTATAGTTTCTTACCACTTCCAGGACAGAGGGATATGACCAACAGCCCTGGGACACACTTTAGTGTCTGCTCCCAGAGAAGAAATAGCTGTACAAATCTTCACATCTGCTCAGCGTTTTTTGAGGGGAGGGGGGAAAAAAAGGAGAAGGAAAAGACAAATGGGGACTCAGTAAAAGGGATCTTGCCTTTCTGTTCCACATTTGTCCATTTGTCTTTTTTCCTGATACATTTTGCCCTCTGTATTAGAGACTTCTTCAGTGGAAAGCAGTTCCTTACATGAACTTACTTGAACATTCTGGACTAAACAGATTCTGTCACTGCCTCGCAGCTGAGGAAGTTAAAGGGTGAGCTCTGAGCATCACCATCAACCCTAGGGCTCTTAGAGTCTCTGAGACAATCTGCCAGGATGTCCTGAGGATCCCTCAAGAACACCACCAGAACAGTGATGTTGTCACTGGATCCATTTTCCTTGGCAGCAGCCACCAGTCTCTCTGCTGCTTTGAGCCCCACACCTTTAGTCTGCATCAAATGATCCAGCACCAAGTCTACAACTTCGTGGGGCTTGATGGCATCAAAGAATCCATCGCAGGCAAGGAGCAGGTAATCTTCTGAGCCAGTCAGCTCGAAGGAATCTCCATCTGCATCACCAGAGACATAGGGCTTCTGGCAGATGTCACCTGAGACAAACAAGCAAAGCAAAGGCTTTTTTACTTTAGATGTATACAGGTACTTCTTTACACACCAATTGCTTTTACCATCCTCATGGACAGCCAGATTATGTTCCAGAAGTACCTGATGCAGGACAAGAGTAGACAAAAACCATGGAATAAGCATGGAAGCCTTTTGTTTCTTTAAGGATGCTTGGAACCTACCTAAATCCAGTGGGTTTCTAAGGAGTTACTTTAATTTACGCTCCCCTAATTTTGCAGGGAAAATAAGGAATTTATTCCCAAGTTTTTTCTCTCAGAAATACATTTGTGCAAGGAGATAGTCAGGCCTTCATTTTGCAGATGTGCCTTCTGTACATCCTTCAGAATACCATGAAAATGTGATTTTTCTCACCTATCCAGATGTACATCACAATGCCCAAAGAATCTGGTCACTGTGTTTAGTGTATCAGTTTTGTATGGACATACTTACCAAACATGGGTTATTACTGATCCAAACAGCATTATACAAATTCCATACTAATCTGCTCCCATTCATACATTTACCTATTGTATTGCCCAGCGTTTTTTCCTCTTTTTGCCCAAATTGGCAATTAGCAAAGTAAGCTTGTTTAATAAGATTGTGAGAATACTACAATTAAAATGCCCTGAACTGCTGGCTATTGAAGGAGAATGCAGTGATTTGACTTAAGCAGAAAGATTCACAGCCAGGAGAAAGATACATTCATATTAAAGTGGACAAAATTCCCTCACAATTCAGATATTTGAGCACATAAAAAGGCTAGACAAACATTTACTTCCTCCACTTTTACAAATTAAATCTGCATATTTGTTTACAGTAGTTTAGGCATTAGTTGTAGAAAAAAAACCAGGACTATCATGGCTAGTATGTAAAATAAAACAATATTTGATGCTCATGGTAAAACCAATATATTTATGTAGCTGCAAGCCATGTAAGTCCCTGCCTTATGGCAAAAGCAGCAAGTCGTTTACTATTTGTTTGATGCTGAACAAGACACCATTTACAGTAAACAGTCTCAGGTGGTGTGTTTCAATCAATTTTAATCCAAAGTTTACTGATTCTGATGGTTTATCTCACCAATTGCTCTGGAAACAGCCAAGGTACCATTAACCCTCCAGCAGTCCATGTAGGTTACACAGCCACCCAGAGTCTCAATCCTTGCTCTCTCATCCTGAAAAAAAAGTGGAATACATTTTGTTTGCTGCTCCAGCTTCTGTATTTCTACAATGAATATAGCAAACACACATATCAGAATCTAGCATGGAAATGTACACACAGGATTACTGGAAACAAGCCACTACTTTCCATCCCTGCTATGGCTTGTCCAGAAAAAGGCAGAATTCTCAAGTTTTTTATCATCATATGCTTTCCCATATGGATGAGTAAATTTTCCTGCCACTTCTTCCCATTCCATACAGCAATTGGGTGAATGTTCAGAATGAAATACATGATAACTAAGCTAAGTAACAATGGTCTTTGCATTGATACTCCTTTAATGACTCAGTTATTACAAATATTTATGCAATGAAGGCAAAGGGTCATGCAATGCCAGCTAAACTTGCAAAGTCCCCATCCAATTTCATGGAATAAAATATCTGGCTATTTAAAATAGATAGGAAATGCAATGTACTTTAAGCCAGTTAGGCCAGTAGATTAGCATTAGCTTTTCAATGACAGTACTGCATATAATGAAAGATTTGCATTATGGTAACATTTTAAATTGCTATTAATCTGAAATTATTAAGATGTTTTGTAAAAGGCAGATTTAAATTCACACACAAAAATCCTGTGAAAGTCTTAAATTACTGCAAATTTTGAATAGTCTGAGCAGGAAATGAAGTCAGGACTATCAGTACCATTCATTAGTACTTCCAAGTAGGTAAGGCGCAGGGATCACCTTGTCAAGACACAGGAGTGGATGTAAAACAAGAAATTGTTAATTCTATGCATCTTAATATACATACATAATAATGTAAAGTACCAAACACTTTAAAAGGCTTGACTCCAAAAAGTTTCAAGAGAGAATCTGACTTCACACTCTTAAGAGGAAAAAAACAAGTCAGACTTACTTCTCTTTCTGGTTTGTGAGGTTCCATTAATGTCACAGCTTTCCCTTGCTGCACCAGCATCACCTGAGAGTCCCCCAGCCATGCTATGTGTAGTTTGTTCCCTACAATCAATGCAGACACACCTGTTGTGCCACTCCGCAGCTTCTACAGAAGGAAAACAGGTGTGTCAGGTGAATACTCAATGAACCCTACTAGGATATATGGCAATATTGAAAACTTAGGTTTAATCATATTAAATGCAGTAGATTAGACCTGCTAATCCTAAATCACATACTTGAAAAAAGGTACAAGATAGAAGAGAGACTTGAAATAAACTATTTATGAACATATTTTCTAATATGCAGATGATTAATACTGTCCCTTATATTCCTCCTTCTCTTGCTATTAATTCCAAAACTGATCTAGAAGACTAAAAGCTCTGTTGTTTAAAACAAAGACATGCAGAAAAGCAGGAGGATCTGGATTTCAGTAGAATGAACATTTCACAAACAAACACATCCCTCCAATCCCTTTCACATTCTCTACCACTAGCATCTACAGATCTCTTGCTTCACACAGATCTCCTTACCCTTGGGTATTTAAATGAGAATGTCAACAAAGGAAAAACATCTAACTGTGCTAGATTCCCTGTGAAGATTAGTGAGAGTCAGATCTTATGAAATGCTGGTCCCTCTTTCATACCTCATTGACAGAAATGAAGACATTGACAACTAGTACTCCCACAGTACTGGTATAGTAAGAGTTTTCAAACAGTGTAATGTAGATTTGAAGAAAGAATGTACATCGTAGCAACTTAATACAAGGTTTAATCAATAGGTTTAATGAACTGAGGAGTCTGATTTAAATCCAAGAGCACATTTTTCACCTATAATCACCAGTGACACTAATGGTGGGACAAGAAAGAGGAAGATAGCAACCATATTATCAGGAAGAAAGAAATCTCTTTTCCAGGTCAGAGGTAGGACAACAGAACATCTAGAGGCTGCCTGGTTTAGACAAGGAGGCACCAGTAATTAAATATATTCTCTCAAATAACTGATATATCAGAATCATTTAAATCACTTTAGCATTTCTTTTCAATTACTCATCTTGCACTCCCAACCACTCGTTTTCCTCAAAATAATTTGATCAAACAAAACCTTCATATGTAGCATAATTTCATAAAGAAGCCAGTGATTCAAATAAACTGTACTGTCAAAGTTTTCTGAATAATACCACATTGTCCAACAGTTCTCAGTGTTATTTAAATACAATGGAATTAATCTCTACCCACTCACCTCTCTTTTGGCTTTGAAAAGAAACATTTCATCTGTCTTCTGGAAAGAGCATTTCAAGGCCTCAGCTGGATTCTTAACAATCTCTTCATGTAACCCAACGTTGACATGTAAGTGGGTTGCTGAGTAATTGGCAGCATCCACTCCACCATGGCCATCAAACACCGCAAAGTAAGCACGATCAACGTCATCCTTTTGCAGGGAGTGAGGGAGAGGAAGACATTCATGTTCAAAACCAAAATAGCTCACAGACTGGTACCAACAAGTAAAGTTTTTTTTTATTCTGGGCTTTCTTCCATACAAATGGCAATTAAAGTCCATTTACACATGTACAAAATGGATAAAGTGGGTACTTGGCAGGCCAATTACTTTTCTTTGTTTGCTGTTAGTCACTTAATGTCCTTCAAAATAACCTGGCATTGAAGCAGCAGACTGCTGGTTACATAGCCCTCCAGCAGTTTCATGAATTGGCACTTGTACAAATGCTGTTCTCCATATCATAGAATGGTTTGGGTTGGAAGGGACCTACAAGACCATCTAATTCCAGCCCCGCTGCCATGGGACAGACACCTTCCACTGACCAGGTTACTCCAAGCCTCTCTTGTAGCCCCTTTAAGCACTGGAAGTTGCTATAAGGTGTCCCCAGAGCCTTCCCTTCTCCAGGCTAAACAACCCCTGCTCTCTGTCTTCACAGCAGAGGTGCTGCAGCACTCTCACTATCTTTGTGGCCTCCTCTGGACTCAGTCCAGCAGGTCCATCTCATTTTTACATAGTGGGTTCCAGAGCTGGACACAGCTCTGTGGGTGAAATCTCATCAGAACAGAGTAGAGCAGCAGGTTTCCCTTCCTCAGCCTGCCGCCCTCACTGCTTTTGATTCAGCCCAGGACATGTTTGGCTTTCTGGGCTGCAGACACATAGCACTGAGTCATATTGAGCTTCTTATCAACGAGCACCCCCAAGTCCTGCTCCTCAGGGCTGCTCTCAATCCACATATAAGTTGTGTCAGTCACAAGAACATTTTAACTCCAGCAACATAACACTAGGTGAGCTTTCTATCTTCCCATCTCCTAACTTATGACATAAATCCCAGAGTCACAAGATCCTCCCTGCATCACTTCTTTATCAGGGCAGTAGTTGGCCCCCAGCAATCTGAGTCACTTAGTCCTTGCTCCAGTGCACATACAATAAATGATCAGATTGTCCATCACCAGGGCCCTGCGCTTACAGCAATATTGCAAAGCTGCCCAGCCAGCTTCCCCTGTTGTGTCCAGACTCACCGAGAGACCGAAGAGCTGGTTGAACTCCGGGAGCAGGACGTGGCGATCCTCCATCTTGCGCCGCGTGTTGCGGATGGCGTGGATGGACACCAGCAGGAAGCGCGTCAGGGGCCTCAGCGGTGGCAACTGCTTCTGCCACTCGGAGCACACGTCCCGCAGCTTGTTAAAAAAGCAGCGCTGCAGCGACTCCCCATCCAGCACTGACAGCACAGAGACAAAACAGTAAGTGCTGTGTCCCACTATGACCCCATCTTTTGGCCTGTCTTTCCTTCAAGTTTCTTTCCCTACAGCTACGTACACGCTGCCAGCACCCTGCCTTTACAGGCTCTGCAAGAATTAAAATGAAGTCCTGAGAATAATGTGGAGAGAAAGTTGCAATGGAAAAACAGTGTAACTTTAAGGATAATAGGAACTTCTTTACTTGCTAGTTCTTCAAAGTAGAGGTTTGTCAAGTAGGTGATTACATTACAAGAATCCTAACAAAGACCCCCAAAAATCAGACACAAATATTATTAAGTAAAATTAGTAAGATATGGTGGTAGGAGTTCATACATACTGAAAAAGAAAAGGGAATCATCAAATGGGCAGAAAAACCTTCAAGATGAGTTTGCTGTTGCCTTGGACACAAGGGATGAAAAAGCACTGGCCTGGCTTTGGGTCAGGTTATGTCCTACTGAACCACTTCCACTGAAACAGCAAGGAAGTCTGAAAATGTTTGCTGAGGTCAATAGCTCGACTCATACTTGAGCTGAGCAAATTAGAATTTTAAGCTGTTATCTTTACCTTTTTAAATACTCGTGATTGTAGGAGCTGCAGGGACAGAACACTTCCACTACTCTCCAGCTTTGTCATTACAGAGCAGAACTGTAAACAACTATTGGGCACAGTGTGAAAAGCTCCAGCTAGACACTCAAATCCTTTTCTGGACAGATCCCAAAGATCAATTAACCCAAACTTGTTCATCAGACTGAATGCCTTGGTGCTTGGCATTGTGTCTAGATTTGCAACACAGTATCCCTCTAAACAGGTAACAATATAAAATTTTGTTATTTGAATAGGAAACCTGCCTCAATGCTAAATCAACTAACTTCAAAACACACTGAAAAAAGATTTATAGAGCAAAAATAATTTGCTGGTCACTAGTGTATAATCTAAAGAACTGCAGTGCATGCACTATCTTTCCTATATCTATTTTATCCTGACTCCTGCTAATATTACTAGCATTAAAGCTGCCTCAGAATTCCTTTCTATAACTCCTGGTTCTAAAGTTGTTTTTTTTCCCCTCAGCAACAGTGGCTGGCCAGTTTCAAATGCATCTTTGGGCCTGGAGAATTGAAAGCTTAAATTTAAACACACACTTTTGATTAGCAGCCACTACATACTAACCAAAATTACTTTTAATTTGCTTAATATGTAGGTGTTAATGGACAAGCTATAAAAACCTTCAAATATTAAATCATCCCATACAAAAAATAACAAAATAGGACAGCATCTCAGACAGCCTTGCCTACAGCTGTTACTTTACAGATCTGTAAATGTCTACACTAAAACTGACTCAAAGATACATACTGCTGTTTAAATATTAAGCTTGTGAATTCTGACAAAGAGCTTAGTACCTTAACAGCAAAAATGCTTCTGCAGTGTACCACAAGCAGTGGTACTCACACGTGCACACACACCCCCACTGTTGCTTTTACATAATCACTTCTCTTTCATTCCAAGAATGCTTTTTTTGGCAGATTTATTACTGCAGTGCAGGAAGAGAGTCCATACTGTGCTGTAGCACGAGGAACAGCTTTCCTTCTAGTTGTACAGTTAAAGTGATGTAATAGCAATTACAAGATAAGGGAAAACAAGCACAGTCCAAGGGTGCAGAAAAATGAACACCTTTAAAGTAGCTGTTCCTTACTGAGATCAGGCAATGCAAGTACCTGAACAAAGAGCAGATTGCCGTCCTGTTCAATAGGGGAATGAATGGTCAGTAGAGATTTGATCTAAATGACAATGGTGACAAGAATGAACAACCAAAATAGACAGGAATATATAGAATGGAAATTAAAGATTGTTTCAACCATCAGAACAGGAAGGGCTCCAGGGCATATGTCAACAAGGAATAGTGAGAAAGAATGTGAAGTAGTTCAACATGAAACTCATCCAAGGATTTTCCAATTGTGTCTGTACTATCTTAAAAGCAGACTCCAGTCCTATCTTTATGGCCTTCAGAGTAAAACAGCAGCCTGAAAATTCTACAAATATCCCCAATATATAGTAACCAGAGACATCAGATGCTTGTGACCAAGAAAACATCCATGTCCTATCAAGTTCTTCATTACTCCTTGTTTCTAGATGTTATTTCTTTATTATTCAGATAGGATTAATTTTGGTTTGTGGCCCAAGATTTACATAAAACACAGAACTAGAGATTACAATCCTAGGCTCACAAGTGTATAGGATTCATGTCTTACATTACTGCTATAGTTCACTTCAAAGATAATTACATGGGACTCAACAAAGAGTCCGCAGCACAGACTGCAGGATGCTCTGATAACAGTTTCCAACTGCTTTGTGCAAACTGACATAATTATCCTAGGTGAGTAACAATATGCTGCCTTTGACTTTCCTGTATAGGCTACAGTGACCTGGTCACACTGAATTCATGTATTTGCCAGCTCCCCCTCAAGGCAGAGTCCTGCCTCAGGTCAGGTTAGCTGCAGTAAGTGAAGGCCACAGGCATTAAGGTGAGGGATAACAATCAGGGTGCAGCATGACTTAATTAACTGAGTTCCCCCTCCTGCCGTTTCAGACCTGGACATGAATGCTGAAAGAAGTTTCTGGGAAATGTCATATCCTGGTCATTGCACTACGCTGTTTGGGGCTCACTGAAGTGTCTTTCAAGCCATCCTAGGGAAATAGGAGGGTGAGTATTCTCTCTTACAGAACAGACTGGTTTGCCTAAGACATCTCTATTCCATTTTTATCTTCTACTCTGCCTGCATCCTGCTCCATTTAAATTCCTGGCACTGGGACTGAAGGTTTGGTGAAGTCTAATGTTAAACACTCCAGCACGTAAATGCAGTAGGACCATCTGTTACACAAGGCACAAACCCAGTACTCAGACAACAAGGTCTGTTCTCTCTCCAGTTCACTCAGGAGAAAATGCAGGCATCAGGTAAAAGATATATGCAAGGCTCCTTTTCCCTCAGCATCCCACCTTTATAGGTGAGAGTGGGAAGAAAAGAAATCCTCAATAGAGACTACTGAGCAACTTGCCAAGAGAAAGATCTAGAGTTTCAGGATGTTCAAGATGTGGAGAAGTCAGAATCTGGTTGCCAAGACAAAAGCAAGATGGTTTATATGGGTGAGTTTAAGGTGTTGGTCTGACCGTACAACAACTGTGGTTATGTCAATGTCAAAACACAGGAGTAATTAGCTAAGGTCACACCAAAAGGAAAATGACACACTCTTCCCTTCCAGAAAGCCAATCCACAGGATCAATCAGGGCTCCAAACACTGTGTTTGCATTTTGCCCACAAAACTAGCACAGCTTCCTTTCATCCCACAGATACACAGCAAAAGCAAATCAAGTTCCATTCACTGCTGCTTGCCAGGCAGTCTAACCAAATAAATCTGGGAAACATTTCAAAACACTGAAGTCTTCTGAAAGACAGCCTCTGGGAAAACCACAGTTGGAAGAAGTATACTTACAGGTGAATCTTTCCTCATCTCCTTCTCCCTCTGTTTCCACATTTTGCAGCTTAAATTCAGTCAAGTCTGTTTGGAGAACTTCATCAACTGCAGCATGGATCAATGATGCTGCAAGAAGTGGTGAAACATCTCTGCTGGTAAGAAAAGGAAGGGAAAGCAAAATAGACTGCATTAGTTTAAACTGAGCTACAACCTCACAGTGTATGGCTGGTAACCTCAGACTCAGAAATCATTACATGATAATACAAACTTCATTAGTAAACTAGTAGAGCAAACCATATGTTCAATATTTATTCACACAAATCTTTAGTAAGATCCTCAGTTAGACAACTGCTTTCTCAAGAATGTAAAGAGGAAGAAGTGCATGAATCATATTTTCAAACTGTTGCCTCACACTCCAGTCACAGATGGTACCTCTCTCTTGAGCTCTCAGATGGAAACTGCTACCTTCAATTCCAGCCTCTAAACACACACATTTTGTTTCTACTCACTACACAGCATTTCTTGTTGCAGTCAACAATCTCACCACAGACAGTAGCAAGATCTCAGCATTGTGGTAGATGCAAATCTCTAAAAATTTACTTGGAACTCTCCTTTCCCTCACAAGAAAAGTCATGCTTAGTGCTAACCTCCAGCCCTTATCATTCAGTTTATTCTGACTGGAAGTTTTCCAAAGAAACCACCCAGGTAAAAGATGCAAAGAGTTGTGACTAGGATGAGAAGAGACTCCAAGACTTATGATTTAGACAAAGCTTTTAGGTGGGCATCTAGAAGACAATGCTACATGATCTGCTCAATATCTCCTGTTCATTCAATGCTTTATTCAAGCCACATGCTTCATAAGAAGAACACACTTGCTATAATGGTTTTGAATCTGTAAACGAATAAGTCCTGTCCAAGTCCAAAAGGCAGCTACTATAAAATAATTCCTATATTCACTATAGTCTCATGGCAAGCACTAATAACTACAGTATAAAACACATGTTTCAGCCATTTTCTATGAGCACAATGAAGAATAAGCAACAACATCCATAAAAAGCCACTTTATCCATTGTTCATGGAGTGTTTGACTCCCACACGGTATCAAATTACAGAACCAAAGCAAATATCACATTTAAGGCACCTACAGCAAGTCAAGGACAAGACTTTGTTTTGCCAGGAAACATTTAGAAAGTTCTGCATAAAACTGGTTTGCTGGGGAGTATGAAATGGTGGAAGCAACTGGTCTGTGATGTTGCTCAGCAATGAGTGGCTAGTGCGTGCAGAAGGGCAGGGAGGGGAAGACTGCAGGGTTTTAGATCCCAGTGACAACAAGCTGAAATGCATTTTGCCATTGTGCTCCTGAAAGAGGGGCCTTGTCACATCCTCGCAGCCGTGTATGAGTACCTCCCGTGGCAGCAAACAGAAAGCATTGTGTCAGTCAGCAGGCTCCAACACAGGCCTGCTTTATGCCACGCATTCTGTGGCAGTGACAGCCCAATTTAATGAGTTATTTCGGTACTTCAAATAGATGGCAATGTGTTAGCAGTCCTTTCAGTGCTAGCTGCAGTCATGTCACATCAAGGGAAAACAGAATGTGACTTTTTATTTCTTTTTTAAGGCTAATATGTTTAGGGGAGTCAGCTCCTTTCCTAGCTCAGTTAAAGTAACAATGCCTGCTTATAAGAACTCTGACACTGACAGACAGCCCTTTAAAAGGTCAGGCAAGAAATACACCCAGAACAGATATGGCACCCCCTGCCCTCCAAAAATCTTTCTTCCTGTTATTGTTTGCATAAGAGAAAAAGAAAGGACTACAAAAATATAAGCCCCACAAACAATGTCAGATGTGTTGTTGATACCGCTGAAAGTCAGAAGCTTTAGTCAAAGCACATTTCAGCTCCAAGAATAGAGACAAGAAACAAAAAGAAAACAGCAATGCATTTAACAGCGCAGTGAGAGCCACAGCTTCAGACATCTTCAGAATTTCTCTGCTATGCTGGAGGAAAAAATCAAATCTCGCCTGGGTTCACAGCTCAGCATCAGAAGAGAGCTTAATACTTTGATTTTAAACCTTGTACATTTCTGCTTTCCAGAGTCCAGGATTGCTGAACTGGGTCCATAAAAAGCAGCTTAAACAAAAGGAAATCTACTAAATGCTATAATGCACAAGTCCTGTATAAACCTCTGCTTCCAGGATGCCTGTAAAAAAAGAAAAAAATTATGAATTATGTCACATCCTTCAACTTTTTCCAGCTGCCACCCAGTTCCTAAGAAGGAAATTCAGTGATTCCTCAGTACGGATATGCTTCATCTTTGCTTCCTAATTATTTCCTCCCCTTCCATAGTTCTTCAAATCTGTAAGAAAGTGGTTATTTATTGGGATTTTGTTATGCAGACAGCAACATCAAACAATTGATTCTGACACACTAAAAAAAGACAAAGACTAAAAAATTACCAAACCTATTTAGTTCAATTTCAGTTCCAAAGAGAACATATTTGTGATTACTTTATTAACGCTTTATTATCACATTACCGTATTGGCAAGACTGGTTTTCACTTGAGCTCAAGTAAATGGAGCTCCAAGGAATGGCATCTTTCATTCAGGTCCAGAGTTCACCAGTTCTAAGTTCACTTTCTAAATCAGAGATTTTTTAAGAGTTAACAGAATGTGTCATTAAAAAACAGCAAGGACTGCTGCTTTAGTTGTGAGCTACAAGGTCTCACTTGGCTGGAGAGTATCTGGAAACAGCCACAGTACCTATGGCAACCAGTGTAAAAGTAACCTACTGCAATTACCATTGAAGACTTCAAACATTTCCTGTAAGCAAAGAAGAATGTCATTTATTGTTAAAATCTTCCTTTCAAAGAAGCCCAAGAAACCCCGGTGATGAGCTGAACCAAGCATAATTTAATCTCCATGAAACAGAAGGAACACTGTAGTTGTTTCCTAAGTGGAAAACCAACTGTATTGGGAAGAAGAGGAAAGCTGGTGGGGTGTGTCCCATGCACAGGATGCTACTTCAAGAGAATCTTAGAAGAAACATGTTAGCCCCATCTCTCTGACATACATCACTAAACACTCAGCCTCAGCACACACAGGCTAGTAGTAAACAGACCATGAATTTCTTTGCTGCAGGCTATTTCTTTGCTAACAAAGGGTATGTTTTGACCACAATTAAAAATATTTCAAGAGAATTAAAGCATGTCGTAACAGTGCAGATGAGGCATCATAGCTTCACCAGCAGCTGAAGTCAGATCAACAGTGGCTGGAACATGGAGCTCGTATCATCCAGCAACTCACAGTAAAATACAAGACTCGTTTCAAGAACCTGAGTATAGCTAAAAGAGGCAAGTTAAAGCAATACCTATACTAATAAGATGACACTTAAATTTATTTGCCACCCTCCTCCTTGAAAGATTCTGGACTACTGGGCACACACAGTACTGGTGAAAGGAGCTATGCAAAGTTCCTGCTGATACACATACCTCTGGGCCAAAATAAAGTTACACACAGAAGTAAAATGCAATTATGATATTTTGCATACTTTAGATTTGGCATAAGTTACAGAACAGAACTTACTTCTCTTGCTCACCTTGTTTCTCTTTTGCAATACAATTTAGTTATCTATTTTATTTAATTTCAAAAGACCAACTGTCACACTACCACAGTGGTGTCCAGCTACAGTGTAATCATGTACATAAGGACAATCATAAGACTGTTACTGATCCTTTTAGTACCAGTCTTCAGAAAGAAAACACCCAAAATATATACATGCTCTTTTGTAAGCAGAAACACAGTAAGATAACTTCTGACTCGTTTTTATTTCGGTCATTAAATGCCCAGTACACTTGCAGCAAGTGTTGCAAACAAGTCACCAGCTCAAAGATGTTCCCACCTCTTTTCCTCCTCCCTTATTTTATTAAAAGGTATATTCAGAAGTCTTGAGCAAACAGGTTTTTTGGTATGGGAGAAGCAGCCAGAGCATCAAAGGTCAGGCCACCACACCTTGGCCAGAGCCTCAGCTAAAACTAAACTTTTTACAAAAGCTTGAAAACAGGTGACAGATTCCTGCAGTGCTCCCTGCCCAGCTTACAGTGGCTTTGAGGACACAGAGTAATACAGCAGATTTTTGGGCAGACCCCAAAAAGCTTCTCTTTAGCACTGGGAGCAGAGGAATGAGTTCTGTGGCACCTTGGAGGGTGGCACACAGCCTCTCTAGGACACAGCAAATACCCCATGTTTACACAAAGATTTTGCATTTTTATTTACCTGTTTCACAAGCAAAAGAATTCATATTCCCCCCACCACAAATGCACACATTGTCCCACAGTACTATCAGAAAATCTGTCTGTATAAAATAAAGCACAAGAGATTACAACGGTCCTGGCCAAATATTGATCACTCATCTTTCAGATTTTTAAAAAAAGTGACATGATTTTGTTTCTAGACATTATTACCAAAGTCATGGCAAGAAGGCAGCAGTGGTACTGCAGGCCAGAGCACCAGTGTATAATCCTCTTTTCCTTTCAGAGTGTGCATACACACACATGTTGGGGAGAAAGAAGTGCTATATCTGAAAGCACAAGCTCTAGCACAAGGCAGCTGCAGCTGCCTTATGTCTAAGGGAAGATGTGCCCCTATTTACTCCATGGGTTCTGTAACAGCCAAAGATCACACAGAGCACAGCTCTGCCACTGCCAGCTCAGGGTGTGTTTCTAGCATGTTACAGCTCTATCAGCAGTGGGTTTAGTGCAGATCTGCAAATGCCAGCAGTTCTCCAGCAAATGAAAGATCCTCTCACACTGCCAAAATAATAGCAGGTCACAAGTTTCCTCATAAACAAAAGCTGCTTGTATTCAGTATTTTCCCTCCAAACTGCTACTTTTATTTCCCTTTCTCTTTTTATTCTTATAATCAACTACAGAATGTTTCCACTCAAGCAGCTTTAAGCATTAGCATTTATTAGAGCACTACCCAGAGTTCCCAGGGTGATGGTGGCCAGAAAAGTACAAGTATATATCCACTAAGGAGAGAACATCTGACATTCTACAATGCACAGGAAGTTGTTTCGTGTGCTAATGACATCAGGTCATTAAAGGAGATGAGCAAGAGGGAATTCAAAACAAATACATAAACAGTGCCACACACAGAATTTCCATCTCTTATAGTTACATGAAGCAGTTTTTTCCCCAGCTTTTCTTATGAAACTACCAG